GTGGTGGATTTAGTCGGTAAGAATCCGACACTACCTGTCTACCTAACCGTAGCAGGTGTCTTTTGAAGATTTCCACCCCGTAAAAAAAAAAAAAAAAAAAAATAAATGGCACTTTATCGTAGATCGACATCCACTTGCAGTTTGAAGTATTATATTGGAAACTTGTATATTTCATTTGCAACCAAAGCAAATCTTCAAAATTTCCGAAACTCCGACTTGAAATTTTCGAAAATTTTTGAAAACAAAGTGTGTTTACATCAAAAAAATGTAAATAAACATTGGAAACCAAAATAAACAATCAAAAAAATATAAATAAACATTGGGAACCAAAATAAACAGAACAATGTTTGCAAACAAAACGAAATTTCAAAGTTTTCGAAACTCCGATTCCAAATTTTCGAAAATTTTTCAAAGTAAAGTGTGTTGACATCAAAAAATGTAAATAAATATTCGAAACCAAAATAAACAATCAAAAAAATGTAAATAAACACTGGGAACCAAAATAAACAGACCAATGTTTGCAAACAAAGCGAAATTTCAAAGTTTTTGAAAATCTGATTCCAAATTTTCGAAAATTTTTCAAAATAAAACGTGTTTACATCAAAAAAATGTAAATAAACATTGGAAACCAAAATAAACAATCAAAAAAACGTAAATAAACACTGGGAACCAAAATAAACAGACCAATGTTTGCAAACAAAGCGAAATTTCAAAGTTCTCGAAACTCGGATTCCAAATTTTCGGAAATTTTTCAAAACAAAGTGTGTTTACATCAAAAAAATGTAAATAAACATTGGAAACCAAAATAAACAGAGCAATGTTTGCAAACAAAGCGAAATTTCAAAGTTATCGAAACTCCGACTTGAAATTTTCGAAAATTTTTGAAAACAAAGTTTGTTTACATCAAAAAAATGTAAATAAATATTGGAAACCAAAATAAACAATCAAAAAAATCTAAATAAACATTGGAAACCAACATCAACAGAGCAATGTTTGCAAACAAAGCGAAATTTCAAAGTTCTCGAAACTCGGATTCCAAATTTTCGGAAATTTTTCAAAACAAAGTGTGTTTACATCAAAAAAATGTAAATAAACATTGGAAACCAAAACAAACAATCAAAAAAATGTAAATAAACATTGGAAACCAAAATAAACAGAGCAATGTTTGCAAACAAAGCGAAATTTCAAAGTTTTCGTAACTCCGACTTGAAATTTTTCGAAAATTTTTGAAAACAAAGTGTGTTTACATCAAAAAAATGTAAATAAACATTGGAAACCAAAATAAACAATCAAAAAAATGTAAATAAACATTGGAAACCAAAATAAACAGAACAATGTTTCCAAACAAAGCGAAATTTCAAAGTTTTCGAAACTCCGACTTGAAATTTTTCGAAAATTTTTGAAAACAAAGTTTGTTTACATCAAAAAAATGTAAATAAATATTGGAAACCAAAATAAACAATCAAA